CCCCCCGACCCCCCCCCCCCCCCCCCGAAATCACCCCCGGATGATGATGAATGCGAGGCTCGTTTTGATATGATGCACCGCGATGACTGTGTGTGTAGAAATATATTTTATTACCGAGATAATTTTGCAAATAATTTTCTCATACGTTCATTCTAACTGCTGTTGTCTCTCAGACGAGGTATTTGAGAAACGAGAACAATCCCTGAGAGCGAATGCTATTAAACTGTAACACATTATATTAGAATAAAAAAAAATGTTACTTCGGCAAAATGTTTTGCTTTGCGTTTGAAACACCGCGTGACGGACGAAGTATTGCTTTATCATCCACATCTTCGCCGAACAGAGAAACAATAAAACGATCCGAACGATTCGTCCTCTGAGACCACAGTTCTTCTTCTTCTTGTTTTCTGTATTTACGACCGACTACTCACCAGACGTTGAACAACGGGAAAAACGAGCACAGTGTTTTGGCTGTCGTTGCAGACGTTTAATTTTCAGGGACAAGGTGTAGACACAGAGACAATGTTCGGGGCGTCGTCAGCCGGGCTGAGCGTCTATCTCGAAGATCCGTCTACCGGCACAGAACGCGATCTGCGGCACCACGGTGGCCGTTTTCGTTTTCTTCGCGTGCTTCGGGTTCACCGGGCCTATGTCCATGCTGTACGTGCCTCCGCCCAAATTCCTGACCATCGCCAAAGTCTGTGTCACCGAAGAGGAGGCAACATCGTTAACGATCATCGATAGAATCCAAAGGGGCGGACATCCGCCGGAACTTACAGCGTGAGACCTCAAGTCGATCACCCTGAAGAGATTCACGTCCGCGCCCCCGCACCCGAGGAACATGTTCGTCACGTATTTCCCGCAATAAAGCAACGACGAGTAGCTGTCGGGTTCCAGTGACACGAGCAACTTTCCGCTGCCATAGTCCCACAGCTGAATAGGGTTCTCCCTTTGCCAAGCACAGGACACGATCTGTTCGCAGAATGTATCGTTAGACCCCGTAATCTCGTTTCGTGTCGGTCGAACTCGAGCTGTAACGAGGTAAGCTGTAATGCAATAAAGTTCGAAAACACACAGTTCGAATCTCGAATTGCACCAAATGTTTCCAACTATTCGGATGTTGTCCTTATCCAGAAACTGTCGCGCTTCTTCTTGTTGATTTCGGGAGTTCGCTTATTTGTATTACACTCGTTAGCCTCGAGATGTTTTCGCGTTCAAATAGAAGCACTAGCTTCGATGCATTCTAGAGCTTTTCGATCGTTTTGCATCAGATTCTACTCTATCCAACCGTATCCAGGATTTTCATTTTTATAGTAACCGCAATGGTCACTTTTATCATGCTGACATTCGATGTACAGTAAGAATTTATGTTACGCGAAGACAATATTCGATTTAGGGAAAACTTTTCTTGGCACGATGAAAAAAATAAATGGATGTCGGGCAATTTTGAAAGAAAATGCTTCTCAAGAACTGATTGAGCCGTTTATTTTGAAAGTGGCATAAGTCGCTTTGTTTTTAAGTCGATTTATTTAAGGGTTTACGTTTTAACCCTTTAGGCACGACGCGCCACCATAGTGGCTTGCTCTAGTAGCTCACTCGGTCATCGTTCGAATCAAATAATCGTCTTCATATGCGTTGTTTCACACTTCTTTCGTCTTCGCATCGATTTACAACAGTCCACAGGGTGTCCCAGAAATGTCTCGCAATCCGAAAATGGCGGGTTCCTCGGATCATTCGAAGCAACTTCTTCCTTTACAAAAATGTTCTCCGAGGCACCGTTAACGAGTTATCAACGGAAAACAGTGACCAATAAGAATCGAGTACGGCTGACGCGAGGCGGCCCAGCCAACCAGCGCGCGCAGCCCAGTTCCGCTCATTGGCTCGATCGCCTCGCGCCAGCCGAGCTCGCCTCTCATTGGTCACTGTTTTTCGTTAATAACTCGTTAACGGTGCCTCGGAGAAAATTCTTGTAAAGGAAAAAGTTGCTTCGAATGGACCGAGGAACCCGCCCCTTTCGGATTGCGAGACATTTGTGGGACACCCTGTATATACAGTATCAGACTCTGTACAGTACTAAAAAAGGTTAGCACGTTTAAAAATATGGATGCTAACTTTCGAGAAGATTCACTTGTATTCGTTATCTCAGGATACTGATATTTCTCTCAGTATAAATAATTTCGTATAAACATGACAAAAACCACCGCTTTTCATTACGGTAAAATGACTCTTATGCCACTTTCAAAATGAACGGCTCGATTGTACGTCAAAAATAAAATTCATACGGACCAGACACAACCAAAATAGAGTTTAGACGTTCGTTCGAGTGCTTCGTGAAGACTTGCTGCAATTTTAATGATAGAACACACGCGTGTCCGACAACTTTTCACAGGTGCGTCAGGTTTCCAAGTACAGTTATTTTCGTAATTCGAAGAAAGCTCTATTTTATATTCTTCGTCTCGCTAAGTAAATATATACATATAGCAACGGACAACTCTCCGTGCGAATACCTCTTTGCCGTTTTTCGTGATGTCGAGCCCATCGCCGCACATATGTACCCCGGAGATGCGTCTGAGCGCATAGGGTTGTCTGGTATCCCAGAACTGAATCGTGTCGTCCCAGCCACCGGAGATCAGCTCGTGCGCCGATTTCGGGTTGAAACACGCACAGAAAACCCTCGACTTGTGACCGTCCATGACTTCCAATGAGTCGCTGGAACGGGAAGAGTACCCTAAAATATATATCTAAAACTTATTCTAAACGTATCTCGTAGAGCGAAACGCTGCAAAACCGGGCGGTCGTCAGCGAAATCATGATCGTGGAGATAATCACAGGTTGAAACGAATGTAAAACTGACAATGAGATTACTAGTGATACAATTAATTGTAAATATATGTATGTAGTCGTGGTAAATGGTGGAATTGCTGTACATACATGAAACTAATCGCTATTTGTGGAATTAAAGGGAGGGAGAGATCGTTCGCAAACGGAGAAGGAGAGACATACATTGCAGAGATATTCGCTGTAGATGATTAACACATTAAAGGCGGGGGATCTTGACGAAAGTGTGCTAGGTAACGCGGCGACCGCCCCGCCTCGTTTTTCGTCCTAGAGCGGACGATATTTTGTGTAATCGTAAAAAAATCTAGACTTGAAAAAGTTTATCGAAACTCTTAAAAAACTGAAAGAAATATTAGAAAAGAACTAAACACTAATTACAAGAAATGTTTTAAAGTACATGTTTATGAGAAGTCGAGGTAAATCGTAGTACTACGACTCCCGCCTTTAATTTGTTAAGCAATTGCGAGTGAGATTAGTAGGGAAAAAGGATCGCTGTAAAACGAGAACAAAGCATCCACATTGTAAGAATTCTGGCATCGTTCGTTTGATCCCAGGGCTCTAAACTCTTCGTGCCTTCGAACTGTTATTATTGTCATTATGCTAGCCGCGAAGTGAACGTACTACACAATTGTAAAAAGAGAAACTTGTCCCACATTTTCATTCGGCGCGATCACGCTAAGACTGTTATGTGTCAAATAAATGGTTTCTGATTGAAGTTTATTCACACCGAGAGAACGATCTTTTCTGATTCCGAGACACGCGACATTCTAAATTCTCCGACGAGTTGGATTCATTGTCGCCTACGATCTGTCAGCGACACCTCGCAAACATTAGGGTGTCCCATAAGTTCTTTCCGCGCCGCGCTATTAACACGTTCCGTGCCGAGCTTTTTTTACTCGAATCTTCACACTTTGATATTTTACTAAAACTTGATGTATTACGTGCAATTATTAATTCTCGTACACATAACAACGTAACAAAAACTTATCAACGCCCATTCTTGCGGTGGAAATTGATTCTTCGGTTCTAAATTTCTTGTAAACAATTTGTTCAGTTCACTAAGTAAACATGCAAGCGTGTACCATCGATGGTACACGCTTGCATGTTTACTTAGTGAACTGAACAAATTGTTTACAAGAAATTTAGAACCGAAGAATCAATTTCCACCGCAAGAATGGGCGTTGATAAGTTTTTGTTACGTTGTTATGTGTACGAGAATTAATAATTGCACGTAATACATCAAGTCTGTCTCTTATACACATCTAGATGTGTATAAGAGACAGAATTTTTAGTGGCGCCTCGGAGTCGCCATTCGAGTGCAAAGGGTTAATGAATCTAACTGGCTGTGTTTATATAAACGCGCGGACTTACCTCTTGGCTGTTTAGGGTATCGGTTTCAGTCATCCCAGAGCTCTTTTAGAGTACGTTTCGTTGGTGACAAAGTTCCTTATAAAATTTTTTCTACGCCGTT